CCGAATAAAAACTGCTAGGGGTCACAAGGGAATCCCTGGATAATGCAAATAACAGCACCAACAGAGAGCTGCAAGCACTGCTAATTCCTCCTGCAGGATGTCCACAGGTGGTCACCACCCACCTGCCCAAGGGGGGCTAAAATCTGCCTAAAGCCTTCCACCTGCCCTCCCCCGTCCCCACCAGCTTCTGTCTTGCAGAACCATTCATTAATAAGCTTCCCACCACTGATGTGGCATTTAAAGGGACACTATCACGTAATATCTGTTTCCAATCACAAATTTGGGAAGAATAAGGCTTTATATACCTTGAGGCCCCAGGAGGAATGGGGTGGTGATGATGATGATCCTTTAAACAGCAGCAGATGTCAAGACCCGGAGGAATCATTTTTCTTCCAAGGAAGGAAGCAGTGATGAAACAAAGGCACCTTCATTGACCAGAACCTGCATTTTCTCCCATCACATGGGCTCTGTTGAGCCAGAGCAAGGGAAGAGCTCAGCACACCCCTTCCCATCACTGGGCAAGCCCAAGGTGGCTGTGCTGGCCATGCTGTGGGACGTCCCCAGCTGAGCAGCAGAAGGGAACCAGCTCCTGGAGCACCATAACCCTCACTTCATCTGAGCATCTTCGCTCCAAGACACCTTCAGCCAGGACACACAAAAACACACCTCGTCCAGGTCTTAGCAGAGCCCACATGGGCACTTCCCTGGCATTAACACAGGATTTACCTCAAGCTGATGCTTCAGTGGAGAAAAAACACCACAGAAATGTAATACTGGGTTTCTCCAGCATGACCAAGATAGATTTTCAAGAGCATCTCTGTAGGAGGTCAACGCTTAAAATCTGGACCCTGGCTCAGAGCAACTGGGCACTTGTCTCCCTGTGCTGTTGGCCTGGTCCATCTTTACCCCGTGGCTCAAACCAGGTGCCACCCCCTTTTCACAGCCAGAGCAGAGGGTTCCCTGGCTTAGCAGAAGCAGCTGTGGGTATTTCCCCTAGGACATCAGTGAAGGTGGGTTTAATCATCCTGATCATCTCAAAACTGGAGAAGCATCTCAGCAGAAGGAAAAAGAAACCAGATCACAGCCTGAGTTAACAACTTCTTTTCTTCTTCCCCAGGGAAAAACCACTACCTTCATCCAGCAGCAGAAGCAGGGCAGAGAGTGTGTGAGCTCAGAGCAACCAGAGGCACAGCTTGTGATCTGAAGCCAAAGCCTTGAGTTCATTTAAGTAACCCTGGGCTGGAATATCAGCTCCTGGACCCCCAGACACAGTGCTGGGCTCTGCCTGCATCTGCCTTCACCCCTTTGTGGTGTCCCACAGCACCTCTCTGGTCCCAAGAGATTTCCAACTCCATTCTAGCAGGATCAGGGCACAGCCTGTGTTCCTCCCCCACCCTCACAGTACTATAATCAAAATGCTTTTTGTTTTGCTGGAGCTTCACTTTGAGTCTATGACTCCAAACTTATCCTTCTGGGATTGGATTTCGAACCCAATTCTATGTTGGAAACCACTAATTTTGTTAGTACCAATGTGGTAGGACTCTGCTTTTGGGCAGAGGAAAACTGCTTATTTCCATTATTTTTAATAAAAAATATTCAAGAACAATTCAACAGATTTCATCCCTAGTGGCTCTCAACCCCAGCTCTTGTTTCGACTCAAGTACAATCCTAAAACTTGACCCTCTATTCAGCCTCAAACCCCAAACCTTTCCACAGGCTCTGGATGGAAAGTTACTGACCCTGTATCTGAGCCAATTTTCAAAAACAAAAATAACTTGCCTGATGAAATTTCTGTAGAAAAAAATAAATACACACACACACACACACAAGCACACCATATATACCAGAAGGGATTAAATCCTCATGTTGCAAGAATTTAATTTAAAAAAGCCAAGACATTGTAGGAATGCAAAAATATCACCTCAGCCTGGTAACCTTTGGCTTAGGCATGCACTTCCACAGCTAACAAACGGGAATGTTTCCTCTCCAGCGCTGGGAGGACCGGTGCCACTCAGGAATGCCTGGCTTCAGCCCAGTTAGAAAAGGAAACCAGCAACCCTTTACTAGTGGGGCCTCTGCGGGCTCCTGGAGGCAGCCTCTCATCCCACGGGCTCGTTATGGTTCCCGCTTTCTCCATCACGCTCCGAGCGCCCCGTTCCCAAAGGCGCTGCTAAGGAGGACCAAAGAAGGGCCTCTGCAAAATGACACCACGTATTTTCCCACTGCAAATCCAGATTATTATTGGTTTTCTTTGTCCTCTGGAGGTAATGCACAATTTTCACCCACACCCTGAGCTCCAGGGTGTTACAAGTAGATCCGTGTCCACTGCTGTCACCTCCCCGTGTGAACACCAGCGGGAAGAACACACCGGTGTCTCCAGTCAGGTTCGCTCAACCCAGAGAGAAACACCCCTTGGGAAATACCCAGTACCTGCACAGGGGCAAGAAAAAGTTCATTTCACACCAAGGTTAAGCGTTTTTTAATAGGACCCTGTGCATTAGCAGAATTCCTGGCACGTCCGAGCCTCGTTTAAAAGGTGGACGGGAAACTCTCTGCTGATCTCAAGTTAATCACAACAACCAAGGGACTGACCTGCAGGAAACAATCCTCTAGGTACTGACGTTACCCAAATAAAGCCAGCAGTTTCTCTGGTTTATTGGCTGTGTTTTTCCCCCCAGCAGGCTTAATTTATGGTAATTACTAGGAACTATGGATTAAATTAATAAAAAGGAAATTATTAAGGTTTCCTGACCCAGAGGCCAAAGGTAAATAAAAAGAAACAAACTTCTCTAGATGGAAATGCTTCCCTGCTGCTTTTGGGACCAGCAGAGAAGTCTTTCAGTGCAGCAAGAGAGAGGACAGGATTTTGGGAAGGAGCTGTCTCATCTTGGATGCTGGGATTCCGGGGAGGACCATCTCATCCAACAGCCCGGGGAGCCCTGAACTATCATGGCACAACTATTCCCTGGCAGTGGATTGGGCAGGGAACTGGGCTATGCAGAGTGTACACAGCACAGAGTCATGTTAGCAAAGAAATAGAGATCTCTGTTGGATGGGAAGAGACTATAAAAATAACACACTGCAGAAATCCAGCTTAATTCAAACTACACCAAAGTCCAGGGTCCTGTTCTACATCCAGCTCTGATCAGAAGGGGTAATTCTCTCCTGCCTGGTCAGAGCACATTTATTACTGCTTATAATCCTTACATACATTTCATACTTTAAATTACCATTTTGAATGTTCTTACACTGTTGCAGAGTCAGACTGTTGGCATTTGCCAGACCTGGCCTTGCCATTCCTGGGTATAAATATGGACCGTGTTCACCAGAGGCAGAGCAGGGTGTGCAGATGGGGAGGACAGAGGAAATGGCTCCTGCTCTGCTTTCCCTGCAGGATCAGTGCAGAACAAAGACACCAAGTTCTGCTCTCAGTAGTGGCCCTGGAGCTCATCACCCTCTCCTCTACCAAGGCCCTCCATATGTACAGTGAGCACTTCCAGCTTCATGAGCCTTGTCCAGCACAAAGTCTGTCAATGGCACAACCTGAAACCATCTCGTGCTCTGCAACCAACTTTGGGCTGTGCAAACAAGCTCATCCAATGTGGCCAATTCCATAACAAGAAGTTTCACAATTTTTAATACCACATATATCTATCTTTAAAATGTATGTAATGATATATGTAATATATTAAAAAAAAAAAAAGATAGGCTTTGATACAAGGTTAAAAAGAACACCTGAAATCACCTCCCTCCCCTCACGGATCAAGTAAACGCAGCGAGCAGGTGAACTTGTATTTAAATACACCCTGACTGTGTTTAAGAAAGAACTACTACAAGCTCGAATCCTGAGAAAGGCAGCAAAAACCTCCTGGAAGCAGCTCTGTCAGGGCAGGCACGAAGGAGCGTAACCAACATTTACAGTGGGCAATTGTTATAGTGAAAACAAACCTGGCAGATTAGATGTCACTGGGGAGGGATATCAGCGTCTGATCTAGGTAAGGACGGGGCACAGGGGTACCTGGAGCCTTGTCAAACTCAATGCTCTTATGTAGTAGGTTGAATAACAGAACAATGTTTACATTTCCCCTTGTGCCCTAAGTAGTTTGGAAGTTGGACACCTGAAAAGCCTGAATGGTTTTCAAAGCTGCGCCAGTGTCAGGTCTTGATCACCAAAGCCTTGACCGTTCCTTACCAGTATCCAAGAAAATAAAACTAGAAAAAGCAAAATAACCTCAAGTTATTGCTGCTTCTGAACGTGGACATCCAGTAAAAACAGTATAAATGATGGAAAATCCAGGAGGTCTCTCACACTGGAGGCACATCAGCCACGTGCATGGTGAACACAGCAACTCAAAACACAACCAGCCAGCTGAGAACCTGATGAATTCCAGCCAAGAGAGAGTTTTCTTGAGCTTTTTCCATATTAACACATTGAAACTTCATATTGAAAGTTCTCTACATATACAAACAAACCGATATGCAGTTCATGGCAAAAACCATAAACTGAAGTGTGTAGGAAGGAAACACCCCGCGTGCATTGGAGAGCAATAAATGCTGTATAACAAAAGCACAAGAATCATGGAATTATAGAATATCCTGAGTTGGGAGGGACCCACAAGGTTCATCCAACTCCTTGCCCTTCACAGGACAACCTGTCCCAGAAATACTGGGCAGAGGAAGTAAAAACTTTAGATCTCTAACCAAGAGAGGTTGTGACTGGATTTGTGTCTCAGTCCAGTGAAAGATGGGGTGACTTGTGTGATACATTTATCATTCCTCCTTACTGCTGCCCACTCTACAAAGCAGGCGACCTTCTTCCATACTCTAGCTCCCAGTTCACTCTGATCCTCACAGAACAGGCACCTGGGATGCCCACAACCTTGTGTGAAGAGCAATGCCCCTCCCAAGCCCACCTAAATGATGAGGTTTCCCTAGGCAGAACCCACTGAGGTCAAGGCAGAAAGGAGAATTTTTCCTCTAGGAACTGATTTCATGCTCACCTGTCTGCTGTGGACACCAGAGATGTCAGAGCCCTGAACTTATCCCACTGCACCATCAAGGTGAGCTCTCCACGTTGCACCTCCAGGCTCATTTGATGTGATTTAACAAGGTCTCCTCCGGCCTTGGTCACCACAAGACTCAGGCAGTTCTTCACCCTCATTTCCAACACAGCTGTGCTGAAGGTGGTCACGAATGCTGTGGCACAGATGCTTCAGGTGCTCCAACAGCTATTGAACAGCCACAGTTTTCATCATTGTCAAACTGGGGTGACAACATCGTGGTGTAAAATTCTATTTTGCTATTACTGCCAGCCTGGATCCCAACACGCTTCAGAAGCCAAATTAGTGGTTCCAAAATTCAGCTTCATCACTCTCTTCTAAACTCATGTGCTCTCCAGAAAAGCGAGTCCCACTCCAGCTTGAATTGGACCATTTCATCTCGTCCCAGGGTCAGATGATTGTCAGTCCATCAAACGCTTCTTTGAAAACTGATTTCTTGCAGATGACCGTGATTGCTATAAAACAGTATTTAAAAACATTTTAATATATGAAAAGAACTTTCTTCTCCTCTTATATCAACCACATGTTTGAGAAGGGGCCTGGGGTTTACCACTGCCTGGTGAGAAAAATAGCAAAAAAGGAGAAAGGATAATGGGGTGATAATGACTGGAAATGTATGGATTGAATTTGGGCTCCATTTAAATACAAGAGGGCAATTTGCAACTCGGTGGTGTAGGAAAACACAGAGAAATGTTTGTGGCTCAAGTGTGTATTTGAATATAGAAAAATGTTTTGTGGCAAACTATATTTCTTTTAGCACAGACAAGCTCTGACCAAGCTGCCAGCTGCTGAAGTTGTGGTACTCACCCAGCCCAAGCAGATGGGCTCTGTCTGCTTGGGAATTCCTCTGGAGAATCCCTATTTTGGCACTACCACTGTAGGATGGGGACTGTTTGCAACCCCATCCCGTCACAAACCACATCCAGGAACAAAACTCCACCTCCACCTTGTGCCTCCAAACTCCTCCCTCTGTTTGACCTATCCTTAGGTGATACCTTAACTTGGCAGTAATTAGTAAAAGAGCCAACATGAAACTACACTTCAACCAGGAACTTCAATGGAATAATTTTAATTGTTGGCCTAGATGATGCAGTTGGAGTAGATGATCATTGTAAGTCCCATTCAGCTAAAAATATTCTACTCTATCCTACTGAAAGAAACCACAGAGGAATCAAGTCTGGTCCCACTTGGCTCAGGTTATCAGTGTCTTCTTGTCCTTGGAAGGCTCAGGTGTTTCTGCTGTTTTTATGGTGCTGCATTTTCAGGAGTTTGGTGACAACACTTAAACCTCAGTTGTAGTCACTGCCAGACTTCCATGAATCAGATAATTTTCATAAACAGTTTGTTGCTTCCTCAACTGGAGGCAGGCATTAAAAACCATAAAATATTTTACAAAAAATTGGCTGAAAGTGAATTGTGAATTGTGAATTGTGATTTGTGATCCCTTCCAAGAAGGGTCATTTTAAAGAGAGTTCACTTTGAGTAGGTCCTCATTAAGGACTGAATTTGTAATTCTCCGTGAAAACTGAGCCACAGGAAAATAATCATAGTTGAAAAGTCACTCTCCAGAGTGCCCAGAGAAGCTGTGGCTGCCCCAGCCCTGGAAGTGTTCAAGGCCAGGTTGGACAGGACTCTGAGCAACCTGACCTGGTGGGTGGCACTGGACTCACTTTTCTTTTTCTCCTTGGTGTCCAGTTCTTCTGAAAAAAAAGGTGCAGAACAGGGAACAGACCAAGCACAAAAGTACAGAGGTTTGTAAAAACGTTCTTCCCTATTAAGCAACTGGGCTGATTTTCCCTGTGTAAAAGATGAAGCAGATTGACCAAAACACTTACCTGGACGTCTCCACTCCTGATAGAAACCCTCGATTGCCTTTGTCACTTTAGCACATGAACACGAGGCCAAATGAAACACATGTTTACAGCTATAATGAGGATTAGCTTTGCACTAAAAAAGTTGAACTACAGTCAAAATTAGATGGTGACATGGGTATTTGCCAACAGCATTAAATGAGAAATAACAGAGTATGAGGTTTCTGGAATGAATAGAAAATGTATTGTTTAGAGACCTTTTTGGCCAAGTATCAACATATGCCAATACTTAAGACTTCTTGTTCTTATTTACTTACCCCAACAATAAAACAATTGTTGTTTTGTGCCAACAGCCTGACAGACTGGTCCTGTACCTTAGGAAATACAGATTGGATATTATTTCTCTCGTATCAGCTTCAAACTACTTTTAAAAAAAAAAAAAAAAAAAGAGAGATGCAAAATAATTGAGTCCAGAGGAGAGGAAATAAGTGAAGGAGGTAATCGATTTTAATAACATATAGCATCAACACACATTAAGAAAATACATAAAACAGAGGGGGGAAAAAAGCATTTTCCCATCTCAGAAGACCTGGCAGTGTTTGGAGGTTCTTCCAGCCCCAGGCAAGGTGAAGCCTCAACAACAGCAATGGTTGATCTTCACCCAGCGCCCTGCTCAGTGTGAGCCCTGAGCAGTGAGGTAACCACCCTCATTCCCACTACAAAAACAAGCAAACTGATGAACTAAAAACCCAGGAAATGCTCTCCAAAGCAGAGGAATTGAAATGTGTTTGCAGCTGAAACATTCAGTCTCTTTCCTGGTCTAACCACTCTCTCCGTGGTGTCGCCCACTGCCAGGCCACCCCTGTGCTCAGAACCAACCACTCCTTGCAGGATTTCCCACCTGGGAATGTGCCTCTGCCCTCCTGCTGTAACACCACAGCTGGAATAGATAGAGATCCATACCAGAGCTTGGTGTGGACACCTTTCTCCCAGGGTCAAAGAGGGGGGGGGTCTCTGCACTGGGATCTGGGCACACTCCCAGCCCATTAACGCCTGTGGCAGGAAAAGCACAAGCAGAGAAGGTATCTACAATGTCTGTAGTGTCCACACACGAACGTAACATGCCTCTAGGGGTTGTGTACATTCACCCCCTCCTTTACATCATGCCATCCTTTAACAAAACATAAATAAAGGTATCAATTGTTTACCACCTGCCCTCTGGATATCCTGCGAAGGTTTTTGCTCTGGGAACATGAAGCAACACATGTCAGCATTAACTTTTCCGCCTTTTTTATATGGCTATAAACAGATCCATTGATTTTCCCCACTCCTCCCACTTTTTAATTTTGCAAAAATAAATGCTTTCCTGGACAGTCAGAGTTCATTACTGAGATGGAGCACAGCTCCCCTTGTCCTGCCCACAAGAATCGTAAAGCCATTTAGGTCAGAGAAGATCATAGAATCAGAATTTTTAAGGTTGGAAAAGGTCTTTAAGGTCTAATCCCACCATTCCCCCAGCACTGCCAAGTCCACCACTAACCCAGTGTCCCCAAGTGCCACATCTGCATGACTTTTAAATCCCTCCAGGGGTGGTGACTCCACCACTGCCCTGGGAAGGCTGTTCTGATGCTGGCCAACCCTTCTGGTGAAGACATTTTCCCAATAACCAATCTAAGCCTCCCCTGGCACAACTTGAGGCCATTTCCCCTGGTCCTGTCCTTCGTTCCCTGTGAGCAGAGCCTGACCCTCAGCTTGCTACAACCTCCTGTCGGGGAGTTGTAGAGAGCACAAAGGTCCCCCTGAGCCTCCTTTTCTCCAGGCTGAGCCCCCCCAGTTCCCTCAGCTGCTCCTCATCGGATTTGTGCTCCAGACCCTTCCCCAGCTTTGTCGCCCTTCTTTGGACACACTCCAGCCCCTCAGCGTCTCGGGTAACACACAGTTAAACAAGAGGTGAGTTTGAAAAGAAGCCACTGTGTCCTCCAAGAGCTGCTCTCCTCCCACACACTCACATCCTCCTTGGCTTCCACCTCGGCAGCCTCCAGAAGCCCCCGGCTTAATCCCGTTTCGTTCACATTGGGTCAGAGCACAAGCTTCCCAAAAATGTAACCGCCTGGAAAACCCAGCATCCCTGCAGCTGGGTCTCCAGGAGGGGTTTTCACACACCCCCTGGTTTTGCAGCAGGGGACGAGGACATGGGACCGGAGGAGATGGTTACACAGCGTCTCTTCCTGCTCCATTAACTCAGAGAGCCCAGAGCAAAGCTCCCCATCTGCACAGCCCGTGAGTCACCTCGGGGCTCGGGCAGTTTACTCTATATATTAGTCAACAGCAACAAACAACACAAATCCCCAGACATTAAAAAGCCTTGTAAATTTTTTTCAATTTTTTTTTTTTTTTTTAATTCCCTCCCCAAAAAATTTGGCCACGGATCTCTAATTATAGTTTTCTGGAGATTTAAAAAAAAAATAAAATTAATTGTGGTTTCTATAAACATGAGGATAAATTACTACATGTAAATATTGGTTCTCAACAGTTACTAATGCCTCTCAGGGGGCTGTTTTTATTTTACTGAGACAGAAAAACGAAGTTGTAAAAGATTTTCTTTGTCCCTTTTGCTCATCATGGAGGGGAGTGGGGTTTGAAAAGATTTCTTGTATTCACCACCGAATGCTTTCTAGCTGATGACTTTTGACAGCATTATTAAGTAAATTGAAGGGAAAGATTGATTTCCAAGATGATGCATTGTAAAATCATGAGAAACAAAATTGAAGCTTTTATTCCAGAAATGAAGAGGCAGAAAATGCAAGGAAGACACTAAGACAGACACTGTACCACCCACCAGTTCCCCTTTTAAAGCTTCCAAGCTGACTGGCAGACAGAGCAATAATGAGGAAATTATAAGAGTTGTGGGGTTTGGGTTTGGATGAGCAACACGATGTGTGTGAGCATCCCTGAGGCTGATCCAGACTGTATGAGCTGCTTGGATCCAACTCTTGGGTTACAAGATTTACAAGGACATGCCGAGGTATAACATATTTACAGCTTCTCATTGGGTTAAAAAAAAATGCCCTGAGAGCATCATCTCTTCCAATATTGCCCTGTTACAGCTCTGGATTATCATCCAGGTATGGAGGAGGGAGAAATTGGAAAGCCAGAGGAGAAAAGACCTGAGCAAACCTTCCCTGGACCGAAGCAGCAGCGTGGGGTTGTACAGCTCCAGTTACACCTCACAGAGTCTGACCTCTCAAAGCTAAAGACAAAAAGAAGTCACAAAAAAGGGCAAATCATGATCCAGGCTCTGAAAATATCACAAATGTGTCACCACAGCTGAAATACCACTGCTAATCCTCTGCCTCCTCTGACACAACCATTGGGGGGAAGTGTTTCTGTACCAGGGCTTGTGGCAGGTCTCCTGAGACCACACCACGGGTGGGAGCCCAGGTGAGATGCAGGTACAAGACACTCCCTCCTCAAACAACCCCTCCCCTCTTGATGCACAATATCCCATTGACCCTCCAGCACGTGGCCAAACTCTGAACCAACCTGAGGCACTGCTCTCACTCCAAAATACAAAAAAAACCCCAAACAACTTATGTTTTGGTTTTTTAGTGCCAGATAAGTTCCCTGATTGTGGCCACA